GCAAGGTAACAGGCGAGGCGAGGATGAATTGCTCGTAACTGTCAACGATTTAGTCTCGAAGATTTGCTCATCTGAAGATTTTATTGGTCAGATTGCTACCTCAATCACGAAGGTAATAAGTGAACAAGTGAAAAAGGATATTGATTCTTTAAAGCAACGAAACAAAGAAGTTGCCTCACAGCTCAAAACTCACGGAGAGGCGATTGAGAAAATAATCTCAAATCAAGATAAGCAAGAGCAGTATTGCAAGCGTAAGACTTTGCGCATTTATGGTGTTTCTGAGGACCCCAGTGAAGATTGTCTGCATAGGATCGTCCTAATCCTCAGGGATAAAATGAAAATAAATGTAGAACGACCAGCAATTGAATGCTGCTTTAGAATAGGGCAATATGAACGAGATAAGAAAAGGCCGATAGTACTTAAATTTAGTTCAATGTATTATAAACAGCTCGCCTATGATAATAAAAAGCTCTTAAAATCATCTGGAATGGTCATCCGGGAGGACTTGACTCAATATAAATTGAAGCTACTGAAGGATGCTATCACGAAAATGGGAAGAAATGGTAGAGTCTGGACGACAAACGGCACAATATTCTGCAAATATGATGGAGAAGGCAGAACTGTGAAGATAGAGAAGCCTAGTGATATTGCAAAATTGTGAGGTCCGTTTTGTTCATTCATATTGAGATGATAATGAAACCGTTTTTTTTGCAAAAGAAAGTTTGTACTACATAGATTAGATTTTTTTTTATTCTTGAAGGCTACGATCTGCCTGATTCTGTCGCTATTATTGATTTTTTATTCATGATTTTTAAGTTTTTACAGTGATGAATAGAGGATGACAGTCCCATAATAAAAACACTATTTTGTGGCCTGAATATATTAAGTATATCCACTTTTTTGTTTATACCTAATAATTTGTTTCCCAATTACTTTGATCACTCGATATTTCTTCTCGTTTATGTGTTCTCCTTATTTCAATTTTTAAATGATTCGAAGTGAAGTTTCTTATGAATCAATACGGCGTCATGACGTCATCCTCTATTTTGATTCTGAGCAAGTAGGAATAGTTCTAGTTACTCTCATTTATGTATTGCTAACAGTTTATCTTTTTCTCATTAAGATGATTATATATCCATTTTAATCTGCAGCACAACACTCGTGCAATTGAGCTCCCACTTTCACGTGGATTCCTTTTTTTTCTCTCTTACTTTCTTTCGTACTAATTTTTTGTGAGACCAACAACTTTTTGCAGATTACAACATTCATTTAATTCTATTAACCTACATATATGTGTATATGTGTGTGTATATATATATATATTATTTTTTATCTACTATCTTGTATCTATCTTATTTTGAGTAGGCGCTATAACTGGTTGGCTTCTTTTCGATAACCATGCAACATATAAACATAGGTAGCTTAAACGTTCGATCGTTGTTACCATCTATATCTAATGTTCGATCTCTAATCACTGAGCACTCTTTTGATATTTTTTTAATTTGTGAGACTTGGTTACATGCTGGAATTGATCATGATGCGGTGCACATTCATAATTTTAGTTTATACAGAATTGATCGACATACTAGGGGTGGTGGATTACTCATATATGTAAAGCATACCATTAATAGTGAATTGATGCAAATTGAAGAAAAGTTGTTTAGTGAGCAATTGTGGATTACTGTTAAGTTGAATAATAAACGTTTTGCGATTGGCGTTGTTTATAAGCCTCCATATGTCGAAATAAATAACTTTTTGAACGAATTTGAGACAGCTTTGAGTTTGATATATCCTACTGTGGATGATGTTATGATAGCGGGAGATTTTAATATAAATTTGTTGGACTTGAATAGTGCTGTTAATAACTTTTATTCTGTTTTAGAGGTATTCGAGCTAACACAAATTATTGAAGGACCAACGCGAATATCGGGTGTTTCAGCAACGCTCTTGGATCTTATCTTATTACGGGAGGAACTTGTTTTAGACAAAGGAATAATTGATGTTGGCCAGGTATCAGATCACTTTTTGGTTTTTTGTAAAATGTCAGTTGGTAATCCACATTCAAAAGAAAAATTTATCACATATAGAAGTTTCCAGTTTTTCAATGAGGAACATTTTCTGAATGATATCCGTGGTATATCTTTTTTCCAAATGTTCGACCAAGACAGCATTGATACGAAAATAGCCTTTTTCACTAACTGCTTAGTTGAATTATTCGACAGACATGCCCCTTTAGTTAGAAAACGCGTTACAAAAGGTAGGGCGCCATGGATGACTGATACGATCAAACAAATGCAGCAGCTCAGTGATGAAGCACTTAAAAGTTATAAACGATCAGGTACTCATGCGCACTTACAGTATTATAAAGATTTAAAGAATTATGTCACTAGCGCTATTGGAAGAGAGAAAAGAGCGTATTTCTTCCATAAGTTCTTGCATAGCAGCTCTCAGCAAATGTGGAGGATATTAAAACAAAACAAGATGCTAAAAAATAACTTTAGTAACTCATTGCCCCCCTAACCTAATGGATGTGAACCTTCTGAATGATTTTTTTATAAATTCCATCTCCCCAAGTGAACCTCCAGATTCCTTAATAAATTTTTACAAAAATAACTGTCTGACAAACTCCAAATTCAAATTTAAAGAAATTGATGAAATATTCATATATCAAGCTATCTCTGGTATTAAAACAAATGCTGCAGGCTGTGATGGCTTGAGTATCTTTCTAATAAAACTTTGCTGTCCACATGTTATTCCTTATATCAGTCATATAATAAATTGTTGTTTGATTCAAAATGTTTTTCCAGAAGCATGGGGGAGTGCAGTTGTAAAAGTAATTCCCAAAAAGCTAAATCCTTCAGATTTTAATCACCTCAGAGGAATAAGCATTTTACCAGCATTGTCAAAATTATTAGAAAAAGCGGTTGAGTTGCAATTGATGGAACATCTATCAAAGTTTTCTTTGCTTTCTCCAATTCAATCTGGTTTTAGAAAGAATTTTAGCTGTACAACTGCACTTCTACATGTAACAGATGACATTATCAGAGCCACTGATCAGGGAAGGTGTACAGTTTTGATAATGTTGGATTTTAGTCGAGCTTTCGATACGATCAATTTTAATTTACTCCTAAATATATTGCATTTTATAGGCCTCGATTCGGATAGTGTCAACTTTTTCAGTAAGTATCTAAAGAGCAGAAAGCAAAAGGTTTTCTTGGAGGGAAGTTATTCTGACGTATTAGCCTTAAAATCAGGCGTGCCGCAAGGCTCTACTATGGGTTCACTCCTTTTTGCAATTTATACTTCATACCTGGGCAAAGGCTTAAATACTTGCAAAATGCACTGCTATGCTGATGACACTCAGCTGTATCATACTTTTCTACCCAGTGATGTGGACACTGTGAGTGCAACCATCAACAGAGATTTATCATTATTGACAAAGAATGCCGAAGAACATTGTTTGCATCTTAACTCTAGCAAATCTAAAGTAATTGTATTTGGGCCAAAGCATGCGCGCCAGGCTGTTACTAACTCAATTAACTCTACCATCAATGCACAACAACTTGAAACTGTCAGTGAAGCAAAGAACTTGGGTGTAACATTGGATGTAAATTTAAGATTTGAAAAACATGTAAATTCGCTCATTCGTAAGGCATATTCCTCTTTAAAAATATTGTACGGCAACAGACGTAACCTTCCCGTTAAAGTCAAAATAAATCTATGTGAGTCGTTGGTGCTCTCGCACTTCAATTTTTCTGATATGTTGTATGGCCCATGCTTAACTGCCACTTACAAACAAAAAAATCAGGTTGCGCAGAATTCTTGCCTCAGATTAATATATGGCATCAGAAGACGAGACCGAATATCCCATAAGTTGAAAGATGCGAATTGGTTCAACATGGAAACAAGAAGATTTTTGCATGCCGCAACATTATATCATAAAATAATTATGTATAAGACCCCCACTTACTTATTTGAAAAAGTTACATTTCGAACAGATGTGCATAACATCAATATAAGATCCAGGGGGTTGCTGACACCGCCGATATTCCGAACAGCCCAATTTGAACGAGCGTTCAGCTACCAAATTTGTTCCATTTATACGTATAACACCCTTCCGGTACAATATAAAACTCTGAGCATCTCAAGTTTCAAAACTCAATTAAAAAAATATCTCTTATCCCAGCAGTAGTAACCATGTTTCAGGAAAATATTGATACCAGTTTATGATTAATTTTAGTAGATGTATTAATGTAGGCAATGCATATACATTTAATATTTGTAATGTGTAGAATAAGTAGGTCTCACTCACCTTTTGTACGGACTTTTTTTATAGCGGGTTAAGTGGAAGAGCAGCTACAGCTGAACTTCGCCCGTATTTGGCTATTTTTTTATATAAACAGTCCATTTGGAAATAAAGACGTTTATTATTATTATTATTATTATTATTATCACGGAAAACCATGTCACTCATTTCCGTCGGTCAGTCTGTCTGTCTATGTTTGCTAGTACTCGTACTTGGCCCGTCTGTAACTTGAGAAATACCTGTCAGTTTTTACAAGGTTACTACAAAAGGACAAAAAACTTTGTAATTTTTGAAAATCAGTGGCAGCGAAGAGAAAAGCAAAAAACGAGGAACATTAAAATCGTTTTCGATGTGCGTCTCCTTCTGCTATCTGGGACCAGTGCCCGACGTATCCACGTACAGACAATCACAACATCCTTAGCTAAGAAAAAACTTCTCTTGCGACGGGATTCGGACCTGCGCGGTTCGCGGCGATTGATTAGCGATGGCGTCTACCACTACGTTACCGCGCTGCCAGTTCGGTCCTTCTTCCGTTTCTTTTCTCAGTTTTAAGTATAACTTGTAAAGTGTCCGGAAACTTTTGAACTATAGTGTAAATGTCAGTACATTCAGCAAATACAGAGCAAGTTAATCATATTTTTGAATGCAGGTTTCTTATCTACGCCAGCATTGCTGTCTCTGGTGATAATGATTATTATTTTTGTTCATAATCTAAGTGAATCACAGTTTGAGGAGCACTGTTCGATATATTGTTATATCGTAAAAATCTCGTAACGCAGTCGCACTGTAACCTAGTTCTTTTATTAAAAGATCTACTCACCAAAACCGAGTAGAAAAATGGATGCATGACTAATCCCAGCATACAAAATACCAAATACGCAACATGGTAAAGAAGCTCAGCATCAGTCAGTATTTGTTGATATGTTTTCGTAACAGTACCATGATTGCCCATGATGCTGACCAGGTGTATACCTTTTAATATAATGGTAACTGCCCCCAGGAAACATAAAGTTGGTTCCGGTCCAACTGAGTATATCAACCTCAAAATGGTAGATGCTACTAGTGTTCGTATACCAGTCTGACGGGGCAAAGTTGCAACTATTGCTGATGAACATAGCATTGCGACCCAGATCAATAGTGACACTGTACGACTGATTTCTGAAAATAAATAACAGAATATGCTCAATGACAATACACCAAAACAGTATCCATTAGGTTTTGACGTATACTGAGGTGATCGGCAAGTAACTGTAAATCAAGTAATGAGACTGGCAACTTAGCGTTTGATCTAGCAAAAGTGGAGGCAACGGGCTTGGACGGGACAAAGGGGAACATATGATCCGCCTTCAGTACAAGCTTGAACTTGCTCGAGTCATTTGGCTGTCCGTAGCGATTTTTTGTGCAACACTTTTTTCTATTACGTTCTAAAAACATCAACAACAAAAGATCAATTTCGAGCAAATATGTGCCATAAGATTTTGCTTCAGACTTGGGCACAGTGCAATGGAGACTCTTGCTAAGCTTCAGCAGCCCTACGGACATAGTATTTTGTCAAGCTCCCAGGTTTTTTGTGTATTTTAAGACTTTTTCAGAGAGCATACAGTCGATTGAAGATGAACCATGAAGCGGAAGTCAATCATCTTCAAAAACAGATGAAAATATCGACAGAGTCCGGTATCTTGTGCGTTCAGATCGTCGGTTGACAGTCAGAATGATCGAGGAAGAGTTGAGTTTCACTCACACCACCGTTCATCAGATCAAGAACAACTGGGTGTTGCGTCACGATAATGCTCTTTGTCACACAGCAATCTTAATAACCGAGTATTTTTCCAATAAAATCATTCCTGTGGCTCCTCAGCCTTTATTCGCCTGACTTGAGTCCTCGTGACTTTTTCCTCTTCCCAACGTTGAAAAATCATCTCATTTTCGGACAGTCGAAAACATTCCAACGGCTGTACCCGATCAGCTGAAGACTATTCCAATATCGGAGTTTCAGCACTGCTATGAGGAGGGGAAGAACCCTCTCCAACGCTAGTGGCTTCAGAAGGAAACTATTTTGAGAGTGACAATATAAAATTGAAATTATATTTGAATAGAGAAATAAAAATCAGTCTCACAACTTAATTTACAGACCTCGATTTGTATTAACGTAACGTTGGCAATAATGAATCGTATGTAAAACAGGTTAAACTAAAAACAGTATTTAGAGCTATTGTTCACATGCTTAGGTACTTTTTAGTGACTGTGAATTTTGGCAATAAAAATACGTGGTACACACAGAATAATGTTTTTAGAAACTTATTATAGTACATCTGAGATTTTTTTATTACGGGGTAAGTCAATAGAACAGACTTCATTGACCTTTCCAGTGACTGTAATCTTACTTATAAAATGTGTTTCTAGTTAATTGTAGGTCATCAGTGTTATGTAATTCAAAGTAAGTCTTCCAATTATAAAATAAAGAAAAGTTATGATAATATCTCTAATGTACTGAAACTGTCCATTAATTTTCCTAACCTATTCTTATCGATTTTGAATCTAAGTATATTAATATTTGATATACTTACGAGGTAAGTCCGCATCAAAGGGGTAAAAACAAGCCATTATTAAGTTGATAAGTACAGCGCAGTTGAAGAGAATATTGCTCCATAAAGACATGTAGTTGCTCACCCAATAAAGAAGAGGTTGAGCTGAAAAAGTAGAATTTTTGTGCGGGTAAAGCTAGCAAGTTGACATTTCAGACGATCAAATTGATGCCTGAATAATACTACACTACTCATTAAGGGAGCAAGGGAAAAATCAAAATCTTTCGATGATTTTTGACAGGTGAAAAATGTGTTGGCTGAAAACCTGAAAACTATAACTTTGAAGCTCCAAAACGCTTGTTTTAAGGTCTAGATACGATCATTTTTCACTGAAATACAACCTATCAAAAATCGATGAAAAAGTAGGATTTTTTTCATGCCCCTTAATTTTGTTGAGTATTGTATTTTTAACGGAAAGTTACAGTTAATGATTTTGAGATGGCGGCTGGGCACCTGCTTGAAGCATTTTTTTAACTGAAAGCTGATTCAAGTGATCCCTTATTTTGAGGCTCCATATAGGTAACGATATATCATATCAATTTCTTTTTTGGAAGGGAGTTTCTAAATAATCAAAATATGGAGCTATTTTTTGTGGAACAATCTATCCTAGACAGTTCAAAAATCGGATAAACAAAGTTTCTTTAAGCTCCTCATAGCAGCCGCGGCGCCCTAGTATTTAGGTTTCTGTCTATGCGGCTGCTCCGCTATAAAAACAGAACTAACCTCTCAATTTTTTCTGCCACTTCATTTCGTTGAACATTTGTTCCGTCCTATCAAAGAAATCAGCGACCTTTGAACCCTGATCGTCCCTCTCAGCTGTATGAAGTACCTTAATTTTAGTATCTTGAGTTAGATATTCACAAATCTCCGGAATCGGAAACACAATTTGCTCTAAAGTCCTATCCTGCCTAACAATTTCGATTTGAGCAGTGTGGGAAGCGTAGTAAGCCACAGCCTTTTGAGTTTTGGGATCGCCATTTTCTGATGGCTTGAGCAAAGAAGCTAGCTCTTTATTATGCTGAGCTAACTGATGACAAAGTATCCAAATGTTATGTCCTACATCTCTGGGGGATACGCCGTCTTCAACGTTAGTATCTTCTACGTCGTCGTCTGTCTCTTGGTGGAAAGCGTTGCAAGCTACGTCAACTAGTTGTTTAGGGTTCATGTTATACAATATCCGTTCCGCATTCTCACTATCTCCTCTGCTTTCCATTATTGCCAACAACAATTTTGATGCGTTGTTTTTCAATTCTAAGACTAGATCCATCCGGGTTTTTCCCAAAGGATTAATATCGTTCAAAATAAGAGCGATTATGATATCTAAGCCGTTAGACTCGTGTGTCGCGATGCAGTTTTGGTTCTCATGGCAAGGTCCTTGGCAGTATTCTGTCAATGTTTCTAAAGTTTGGTTGATCAATGCTACATTTCCTTCGTTGATATAAAGTCCTAACAATCCTAGACCTCCAGTCGTTGAGCCACATATGCAGTCTAGAAACATCAATGTTTCTGATACCAGGTTGAAGTTACTTTTATTGTTTTGGTTTCTCAATAAGTTTTGTAAAGCAGAATTGTGATTCTCGCAAAGTAATTGCAGAAATCGCAAAATAGGTTGCATTATCAAGATTTTGTTGGACAAGCCATTTTGTTCATCTCTGTCTCTGTATTTTTCCGACTTATCCTGTAGATCTTCTAAAATGAACGAGCTATTAGGCCCAGTTGTGTTTGGGTCCTCTCCTGATGCGTTTCTAATATGAGCATAAGCTTGACCAGTCAGTTCTGCGGCTTTAGTCAGATCTTTCTGCAATTCGCTATTAATTAACAAATTACTGCTTTTGCCTCCCTGTTTTTTGGATATTTTATCCAGATCTTTACTGTTCTGCTTATCTTCATGCGCCTTAGCGGCCATTTCAGAAGTATTTACTGTTACTGTAGACTTAATTTCTTGTTGAGAATCCCTCATTTTGTCATGAAAAACCTGTGGAATAAAATTGAAATTAGAGATCGCTAAGGCTTTACTGAAGTGTTTTTTAAATGAAATGACACAAAAACTTTTATAAATGGTATAATCGTAACATCCGAAACTTTTCTTGATGCTGAAATAACTCAAAGTTTTTCTGGTCAAATGAAACCCCATATGTAAAAATTACCCTTTACTGACGTCTCGGCCACTACGGTAGTATTTTCTAAAGTACAGATCCAACTGACAATAACAATATATTTTGTATACGACGTTCTCTGCAAATTAGATACCCAAGCAAGAGGAATACAGTGGTCTCTCGTCTAGCTGATCTAGAGTATGCTGATGATATCTGCCTCCGGGGGCAAAATTTCCAAGAGTGGATCAATATAAATAACTCAAATCTATGAGCATTAATACACCTTTTACTATAAACACACAAAAACTGTACAAGCAAAACCGCTGCTTATGATCCTGAGTACATTTCAAGTAAACTACAGGGTGCGGCAGAGAGGACGGACGTTTTTGGGATGGGTAGTACTCTCCGCCTTCGTCTACGAGAGAGGTGGGGAGGGTGCCGTTTGACTCGTGAGATCCAAGCATCATTTTACCAGTTGTCGTTATGGAGCCTTGGACGGTGGAGCACCGCGTTTTCGCCTATGTTTGTTTCGTCCGAAATAATGAGTCAGTCATCGTCGTACAGCGTGAGTTTCGTCGCCACTTCAACATTCATCGGAATAGAGCTGTTCCCTCTCGAAACACCATCCTTTGTTGGGTTGAATCACTTCGCAGGCGTGGTGAACTGATCAATAGAAGACCAAGAGGAGCGCCCCGAACAGTTCGAACTCCTGAAAATGTTGAACGCGTTCGACAGGTCTTTCTTCGCAGTCCGACTCGATCTGCCCGGAAACATGCTGCTGCACTTCGCCTTAGTGATCGTTCGGTAAGGCGAATTTTGCATATGGATCTCCGCTTTCACCCCTACAAATTGGCCATTGTGCAACAGTTACTGCCCGGAGATTATGCACAACGAATGAACTTCGCACGTGAGATGGAAGCACTGATCGATCAAAATGAGAACCTCATTTTGTTTATGAGTGACGAAGCCCACTTTCACCTAAACAGCATGGTTAACCAGCAGAATTTTCGTTATTGGGTTAATGAAAATCCGCAACAGTTACACGAAAGACCGCTGCACAGCCCAAAAGTAACGGTTTGGTGCGCTGTATCGCAAACTTGCATCATTGGCCCTTACTTCTTCGAAGACGGTAATGGTCGTGATGTTACCGTGAACTCAGAGCGCTACGTCGACATGATATCACCAACTTCTTTCTCCCTGAATTACGACGGCGACGTGTTCCAATCCGACGTGTGTGGTTCCAGCAGGATGGGGCGACCGCCCGCACAGCCCGAGCATCCATGGACGTTATTCGCCCTCTCTTCCCTGGTCGCCTTATTTCCAGGTTTGGCGATGTTCATTGGCCTCCTCGGTCCCCAGATTTATCCATATGCGATTTTTTCTTATGGTGACACCTCAAGGCTAGAGTATACGCGAACAAGCCCCGAACTCTGGACGAATTGAAGGGCGAAATTCGCGTGGAAGTCGCCCAAGTTGAGAGAGCGATGTTGGAGAGAGTCTACGCGAACTTCCAAGAATGCCTCCAGCACTGCATCAACGATTTCGGCCACCACATGCCTGATGTGATTTTCCACACTTGACTGTCTCAAATGATATTTCCTTGTGAACCTAATTCCATCAATAAATTTGTTTTCGAGTAAAAATTAACTATGTTATGATTTCTTTAAAACCGTCCATCATCTCTGCCGCACCCTGTATAAACATTAATTATGTAGTGCATCATACTGCATTTTGAAGCAGTTTTATCCGCATAGTCAAATGTCTACTTCAATAAAACTGAAACTGTGTGAAACATTAATTACCTATGTGAAAAGTCAGTTATTGACACTATATGTATACGACCGCTTCTATCATATAGTGAACAAAGCAAATAATGTATTCAAAATTCGTACATTAGATTTTCTTGAGGAATATGAAAGTTTGGTCAAACTTCTCATAAATTTAAGGAACTTGGAATTCTGCAGATTAAAGTCATGCAAAAGCTCCACTTAGTGATACTCACACATAAGGTGTCAGCCACCAAACAATCACGATATTTGCATAAGAATTTGTATTTTTATTTTAAGCTTTAGTACAAATAAGCAAGATTCTTTGTAAATACTCAACTGGTGCCCAAAAAGGGATACTTACCCTAAAAAAAGCCTGGCTAATATCACCACCAAGCAACTTATTATACATGCTCTTCTGAATTATGGGGTTTCCACCTTCCAAAAGAGCAATACCAAGTTCTACAGCTTCGCTAAATATTGACGGCGAATTGCCAGACTTGATAACAAGCTCTACCACAAGATCAGAAGCTTGTTCTCTATCTAGATGAGTTTGGACTTCATGCAGCGTTCTTCCAGCTCTGTTCAATATTTTGGCTATGAAAGAACACAAAATGTGACAAACTTATAATTGATTTAAAAGACCGGATAGTCTACCACAACGTTCCACTAGACGCAGACGCTATCTTCGACACCCCTCAATGACAGATTTGGACAGTTTTTCACTTCCTGCGCAAACTGACAAGGAAGGATTGTGATTGTGAAAATTTCTAAAATAAGATGTATGTTTTTTGAATGTTGTATCAAGAAAAACCATTTAACTCATTTCCATCGGCCAGTCCGCCTGTCCGCTAATCCTTGACCCCATTATAACTTGGTAAGTACTGGTTAGTTAGGATAATCCAAGCGCGGAAAAACTTTGTAGCTTTTAAAAATGCATCCAATGTAGGAGTTAAAAAATGGGGGTTCGGCGCTGTAGGGAGTGTGTATATTTTATGACGATAGTATATCTATACACTCAAGCCCCGATAATTCAACGCATTTATAAGACATAGTTCACACCTCATAGATTTCCCCGTACATTTGCGGTTGAAACTTACATGCGCCGAGGTTTGATCGATATCTGACCGATGGTAGCTGAGCTGACGAGTGGCAAGATTAGTCATAGCAACATTGCCAGATGGTCGGTAATGTCGGTAGGACAGTGTAGAAATTTCTAAACCGCATCGCTGTCAAATGGGTGATGACTATGGACTAATTGTATTGGCCTGCCAGGCAGACTTGATCCAATTAGTTTTCTTGTTATACATGTTCTTAGCTAATTTTTTTCTTACTCTTACTTGACGCTATTTTTCAAACAGAATATGCACATTATGACAACGCACAATAATGAGGTTCCTATAACATACCAGTAGTAAAACTCAAAAATTTGACAGCTCGCCAGCCCACCATTTTGCAATATGGTACATTTATGCTTAAATTTATGCTCTATTGTTGTAAAGCACTCATAAGGAGCTTCACAACGAGATATCGCATGACCCCCTATTCTACTAAAAAATGCTGACATTTCCAACTTACGCTATCAAAAGTGTGAGATCTATCAAAATAAGATGGCGCATTATGATACACTCATAATCAGCGCTCTAAAGTACCTTTTTGTACAAAGCTGCGCTCACATACTGAGTGACAAAAACACCTACGTATGTTTATTAGAATTCAAGAATTTTTTACATATCGATTTATCTTTCCATGAACAACAAGTAATACAATGGTCAGGTTTTTCTGTAAAGTTTTTGTGGTTGCTGCGTGTATGATAAAGAAGCATTCAGTTTTCGTACATTTACGGTATCAGTTAAGTGTGAAATTTCGTGTAGCTTATTGAGAAGCCTTTTTGTGATTGCTCTAAATGCCTAGAGTGCGTAGAATTCGCCGTGTGTCTCAGATAAGTGACTTTGAGAGGGGTCGAATGGTCGGGTTGCGTGAAGCCGGTCTATCGATAAAAGAAGTTTTTAGGAGGACCAACAGATCCTTACGCAGTATACAGCTACATCTCACAGCTGAACATCGGCGTAACCCTTTGCTCTGATGTAGAGAAAGAATTCCATGGGATCGGGAATGGACTCAGGTAGTATTTAGTGACGAATCCCGCTTCTGTCTGGGGATGCACGATGGTCGGGGAAGAGTGAGAAGACGACGTGGTGGAATACGTGACCCATAATTTGACAGAGAACGTCACGTTCACCACACCGTGGGAGTTATGGTATGGGGTGCTATTGCTTATGGTAGCAGATCACCACTAATTTTCATCAGAGGCAATATAACAGCCTGACGCTATATTCAGGAAATAGTGAAGCCTCATCTTACTCCATACCTAAACACCATCCAAAGCCCGATTTTTCAGCAAGAAAATGCCAGACCGCATGTCGCCAGATCATCGTTAGCCTTCATGGATCAACATCGCATCAACCGTTTACCTTGGCCACCACGATCGCCTGACCTATCTCCAATTGAACATGTCTGGAACATGATAGGTCGCAGGCTCTTGAATTTGCAACACCCTCCAGAGTCTTTAGCAGCTCTTACTTACGAAGCTGCAGTAGCCTGAAATGAGATACCCCACCAGGATATCGACCACCTTATCATCACGATGCTCACGCGTGTCAATGAGTGTATAAGAAATCGTGGATCCTCAACACATTATTTAACTAGCTTCTGTAGTCAGTTGACTAATCAAGCTGAAAATTTAATCATTTTACTAGTAAGGGACACTGAACATATATGCCAAAAATTATTAAAATCGGATAAACATACGTAGGTGTTTACTTTTTCCGTCACTCAGTATTTGTAGCCATCGATAATAAAAATGGATTTTTAGGACTTTTAGGTCGCAAATTTTGTAAATTTGCAAATTTTCACTAAATAATTAGATCTGCATGATCAATAGGATCAGAAACATTCAGAATGACTTTGGATTCAGTTTTAGCGATTCAAAATACGTACGATAGTGGTGGAGATAGAGATATGAACCACATTTAGAACATTTCAATTTTCAGGGACTATGTATGGGTTGACAAGTGACATATAAAATGCAACACCCAGAGTTATTTATTGAATTGTGATAAAAACTTGTAAACATATTTTCTATCATGGAAGTATACACTGATAAAATGTTGAAGGCATTCCCAGCTGTACTTTTTTTGTAGAGGCTTTTTTGTCATATCAGGATGTGAACAATATAATAATAATAATAATAATAACAATAATACTAGTTATAATAAATTGTCTTTATTCATCATTCAAGGTAACTTGAAAAAAATGCAATGATAAAATGATGAAAGGCGTAGTTCAGCCTAAGTGCTTTTCAACTAAACCCACAAAAAATAACACTCATACAAAATATATATCAAAGAAAAACATAATATACAATACAAAATAGAATATACGAGAACAAATCGTTAAAAAAAAGAACATGATGACTTAAAAAGAGATATACTCAGGCATTATCCTTCAGCCAGCCTAGGTTATATCTTAGACCTTTGTTCGTGCAGGAGATCAGCTTTCAATTTTATTTTAAAATTGAAGAGGCTCACATTTTTTAGATCTACTGCCAAGATGTTATACAGTTTCGCAGCATTGTATGAATAACTGCGCTTAAACAGAGACGTTGAATGTTTTGGAATAACAGGCAGCCTGGTTAGTTTATTGCATAAATAAGTACGTGTTCTACTAGTAACGATCTTGTGTACTGAAGTGAGAAATTGAGGTTTTCTTATGTTACTCATGGTAAGCCAACCAGAACCCATATAGCTCTCACTGATGTCATAGTTCCGGATACTATATGCAAATCTGATGCAAAAATTTTGAATTCACTGAATGTGTTTGCAAAACTGCAGGTCCATATATGGATTGTGTGTACGATGGCGTCAAGTGAAAGACGTGCTAATAGTTCTGTTACAAAATGTTGCAAGCGTTGTGGTGTGCAAAAGATTGATGATAAATCGGTTATCTGTTGTTCTATCGACGATCCCTCAGAAGAAACAATTAAAACAATGGAGGACGAACAGATCGACGAGGATAGCGACATCTCATTTTGCAGTGTCAGAGAAATGATTGATGTAGATATAAGTGAGACAGACAATATATTACTAAGGGAACTAATCAGACATAAGAATTTGATTATCAAAACACAACAGCAAACCATTAAAAGTTTGCTTGACCAAGCATCAACTTTATCAAAGATATTGGAACAGACATCGCCATCTGTTGCCGATATTAACAGGCAACCAATTGTATCGCCATGTTATCAATACGGAAAACACAAGACATCTACCAACAAGTACAGTGATGTTATAAAGAAACCATCCAGTTCATCAATTCAAAAGCCAGTCACATCGAACGCAGCCAATAATACTGGCAACGCTGTAACGAGGCAGCAAGTGGCACTTGCAGTCGAGCATGCGCTGTCGTTAAATGGTGCTGCAGTACCAGTAGAAACGTCCGCGTCCACTTTGTCCCCTTCAACCCAACAGTCTGGCGACGGCGGTGATGGAGTTACAAGCGAGAGTACGTGGCAGTTAGTTGATCGACAACGCAGAAGACGCAATCTAATAATTGGGAATGGGTCCGACAGCTGTCCGGTTAAGGGCGTTGAAAGAAAAGTTGCGTTGCATGTCAGCCGATTTCATCCGAAAACGAAATTATGTGAGATGGAGTCAATGGTTAAGGCTAATTTCCCTGAGGCTATTGTTGAATGTATTACTTCAAAATATCCGGATATTTATTCGTCATTTAAAGTAACTATATCAGAAAGTAACTTTAAAACTGCATTAAACGTATCAATATGGCCGCAAAATACGTGTATAAATCTTTTTTTACAGAAAAGAAGAGTTTTACCGACATCGACATAGCCTTCCAGCCTAATCTAATACTGCTTAAATATTGACAAAGTCAATCAGCTACATGTTATGGTATCTGACTATGCAAGACTGAAGTTCGTCTGCCTAACTGAAACTTGGGCTACAGCTGAATCACTTAATAATTTTGTTATTGAGAATTTTCAGTTAGTTAGCTCATATTTTAGATCGTCGTACAAAGGCGGTGGCCTAGCGATTTATTGTAGAGATGATGTTGTTGCAAAACCTATTGACGTATCTCAGTTTTCACTGGATAAGAATATTGAGTTGTGTGCCATTCAATTCTCAAATGGTGGTATACGTAGCATCATCATTTTGTGCTATAGATCTCCCTCGGGAGATATGAAAATATTCCATGACAATCTTAATAGGGCTCTAAATTTTATTTTTAGGCCAAATATAAATATAATTATCTGTGACGACTTCAATGTAGATTCTTATAATCATAACGACGATAATGAGGCACTTGTGAATGCACTGTCCGAGTTTGGCTTGCATCCACAGGTAGGTTGGCCAACAAGGATTGGGCGCACGTCTATCACAACGATAGACCACGTTTTCACCAACTTCAATGATAAATGTTTGAATTGCGTTGTTGATAATGTAATATCTGACCATAGAACAGTACTTATTATATATAATTTTGGAATGTCTTCAAGCTGAGGATGCGGTAAAATAAACAGTTAAAAGGGTTTTTGATACCCGGTCTGTTCAAAACTTCGTTTTAGACTTAAGTAAGGAAAACTGGTCACCACTGTATAGTTACCGGGATATAAATAATGCATTTGAGTACTTCTTTCGAGTGTTTGACTATCACTTCCAAATACATTTTCCACTGCGTAAATGTCTGATTAA